GAGGGTGAGAAACACTTGAACCTGGGAGGTGAGATTGGGCCATTGCATTCCAGCCTGGACAACAAGAGTGAAACTCTGTCTCAAAAAAAGCCAGGTATGGTGGCTCACGCCTGCAATCTCAGAACTTTGTGAGGCTGAGGTGGGTGGATCACTTCAGGTCTGGAGTTCAAGACCAGCCTCGCCAACGTGGTAAAACCCCATCTCCACTAAAAATACAAAAATTAGCCTGGCATCATGGTGTATATCTATAATTCCAGCTACCCAGAAGGTTGAGGCAGGAGAATCACTTGATCCCAGGAGGTGGAAGTTGCAGTGAGCCGAGATCACGCCACTGCACTCCAGCCTGGGCAACAGAGTGGTACTCCATCCCAAAAAGGAAAAGAAAAGAAATAAAATAATGGCTACTCCATAGGCAGAGCAGCCCTGAGGGCTGCTGGCTGGCTATTTTTATGGTTATTTTTTATCATATGCTAAACAAGGGGTAGATTATTCATGAGTTTTCCAGGAAAGGGGTGAGCAGTTCCCAGAGCTAATCTCTACTAAGATACAAAAATTAGCTGGGTTTGGTGGTGCACCTGTAATCCCAGCTACTCAGGAGGCTAAGGCAGGAGAATTGCTTGAACTCAGGAAGTGGAGGTTGCAGTGAGCTGAGGCTACTTGCACTCCAGCCTGGGCACAGAGCAAGACTCCGTCTCAAAAAAAAAGTTCCTAATGTATCACAGAGAGGGAACCATCAGGGTACCCAGGCCTACCTGGCCTAGGCTGGGCACCTAATGGCTTCCTGGAGGAGGTGACTCCCAACAGAAGTCTCAAAGAATAATTAGGAATTTGTCCTTAAAATGTGAAAACTGTGCCAGGCAGAGGGCACAGCACAGGTAAAGCCAGGGAGGTGGGAAACAGTGGTTGTCACGTGGGACTTGCATGTGAGGCCAACAGGGATTTTTCTGGGCCCTATGGGTGTTTCCCCTTATGGGCAATCTGTTTTGTTTTTTGAGGAGATCTTGTTCTGTCACCCAGGCTGGAGTGCAGTGATATGATCATAGCTCACTGCAGCCTCAACCTTCTGGGCTCAAGCAATCCTCCCCCCTCAGCCTCCCAGTAGCTAAGACCACAGGTGTGTGGTTAATTTTTAGTTTTTTTTTGAGATGGTATTTTGCTCTTGTTGTCCAAGCTGGAGTGCAATGGTGCAATCTTGACTCACTGCACCCTCTGCCTCCTGGGTTCAAGTGATCCTCCTTCCTCAGCCTCCTGAGTAGCTGGGACTACAGACATGTGTCACCAAGCCCAGTTAATTTTTATTGTTTTTAGTAGACATGGCGTTTCTCCATGTTGGTCAGGCTGGTCTCGAACCCCTGACCTCAGCTGATCTGCCTGCCTCAGCCTCCCAA